TTATGGAGACTAACCATTGCCATCAAGTTGATTCCTACTCACAGTGACCCGATAGGACATGGTAGAACTGCTCTATAGGGTTTCCTCGGCTGTGAATATTTATGGAAGCAGACTGCCACATCTTTCTCCCAAGCAGCAGTCAGTGGGTTCAAACCGCTGACTTTTTGGTTAGCAGGCAAGCACTTAACCACTGCACCAGCAGGACTCCTTCCTTATGGAGACGAGATAAGAGAATTCTAAAGAACAGCAGTTAGTCAGTGTGCCCGGGGAAAGAAATGTGACTTCTTTGGGTTTCAGTTTCCTCAAGTGTGAAATAAGAGATTTGAATTACATTACATTAAAGGCCCCTTGCAGCATGAATCATCTGTGATTCCAGGCTGGGCAAAAAGCATGAGGAATAGGAAGTGTTGTCCATTTTATTAGTGAACTATTGGTGGAATTACAAAGATATCTAGAGTCTTAGTAAAGATCTCTGTTATGAACCAGATGTCACTCATATCCACGGATTTAATTTATTATGTACAGATGATAATTATCCACTTCATAACTCTCAACTACTGGCCACTATCCCCAGATACCGACTCAGTACCCTTACTTAAGATGTCTCATGGACACCTAAGATTCAACATATCCAAAACAGGACCCACGAGCTTTCCTCATCCAATTACCTCATCTCGTTTCAATGATTCCATCATCTATTCTATACCAGTTGCTCCTAGAGAAATTTGGAATCATTCAAACACTCCATCCTCTCATGTCCATAGCTAATCTACTTATTTTTATTTACTCTTGCTTTTTCTGTCCCAAATATATCTAGAATCTGTCTACTTCTTTACCTCCAACATCACTAGCATTGTCCAGGCAACTATCATCTCTTTCATGGACAAGTCTAGCAATCAGTTTCCCTACATCAACATGTGCCCTCTGTGCAATGTCACACCCAGATAGATAGATTAGAATTGAAACTCTGATCATGTCACTTCCCTTCTTAAAACCCCTCAATGTGTTCACTGTTTTTGGACTAAAGACCAAAATCCTTTATATAGTCTCTGAGGTTCTACATGATCTGGCTCCAGACTAGCCTCATCTCACTCTTCCGTAACCTCATAAGCCTTCTTTTGATTCCTTGTACAGTCTTTGCACCTGCTGTTTACTCTGCATAGAATGCTCCTCTTCCCATTTCAGAGCTCAGAAGCATCTCTTCCTCAGAATAGTCTTCTCCATCACCTCACTCCAATGTAAGCTTTATTATTATAACAATACATGCATATTTATTGAGTGCTTGTTATGTGCTCAGCACTGTTCTAGATGGTTTTCATATATTAATTCATCCTTACTATAATTTTATGAGTAGGTACTCCATATATATTTTTAAATGGATGAATAAATGAAGAAATGAGATGAAAATTCTAGGGCAGGGGTATTAAAATCCTAAAACTGTAGGCTTTATGATTGTGATTTACAGATTCTGAGAGCATAGTTATAAGTAACAAAATGTCAGAGTTTTGAGGGAAGTGTTACCAGAAAAGGTTTGACTCCTCAAAGTTTGGATAACTCTCATAAGAGAATACATTTAATTGGCTATGAAAGGGATAGAATATTAGTAATCCGAGAGCCTGAAACTGAAGGCCACATTAGAAGTATGTGTGCTACTCTCATAAAAATACATGATTCACATGATATTCACACTAGAATTATTTCTCCTTCCCTCAGCTGGTACCCTGTGACAGCTTTTGTATAGGTGGCTCCATATTTTCTATAGTAACTTGAACCCATCTTTATCTTTGTATAGTTTTATCTGCTAAAACACACACCTGAAAGATCTCCTTTAATATATTTGTTGCACAGAATCTAACCATGAATGAATGAAATATCAACTAAAATTGGAATGAAATATCAATTAAAAAATTAAAATCTGCTGAAAAGGGAAATTTCTAATTGGAAATTATTTAAGACAGTTAATCTCGAGTCCAAAGATTTTAGTGGGCTCCATTCTATGATATTTTGGCCCCAACCTACAATAATGCCTACTATGCAATCAAAATTTATTGAATTAAAGAAAAGAAGAATGAATTTTGTTTTCAACTACTAACTCTTAATTTTTCCAGTCTATACTTCTTAATTTTTCCATTCTATTCCAGCCAGAATGGACTGCCTACTCATCATTGTAGCCTGCATTTCTAGAAGTTGGACTATGGAGTCAATGAAGATAGGCATTTAATGTTTTATTAGGTAGAACCATATTACTTTAAAAAAGGGAGAGTAATTTACACTCCCACCCACTGTTTATGATGTTTTTAAGATATATATGAAAACACCTCCTCATTTTGAATCAGGTTTTCCTGTATGGATTGTTCCATGGGGACAGCACATTATCCACATTTACAGAATGAATATTACTCATCCTAAAGTATTACAAACATGACTTTTTTGTGTCTCCCTTAAAGAGAGGAGAAATAGATATAAATGGTTATAACAACAAAAAAATCAGTGAGGAGACTGCAGGCATATTTTATAAAATCACTTGGACTATAAATACATACAGTCAAATTCCCAGACAGCCTAATATGTTACTCCGAAAGTATACACACAATAAATTACTGTTTTTCATACCTATTGACTCCCAAGGGACACCTAAAATTTGGTTCTGTTTTCAATAATGGCTGCCCATTTTTGCCATAAGAATAAAACTAGGCTCTACCGTGTCCCTCTCTCCATTAAATTGAGAAGAATCAGGAAAATTAGTAGACGGATGATCATAAACTGCTTTGCAATAAGCTAAACTGGGGCAAACTTGAAAAGCTGATGTCAGCAAAACAATTTCACTATATTAAAAACTTTCCTTTCCTTTATCAGAAGTCATTCCTTTCCTGTATCAGAAGTTCCTAAAATTTTTTTTAGTACTCTCAGGATGACATTCTGCCTTTAGTTGACCTGACAGCATATCTATCTGTCTTAGTTATCTAGTGCTGCTATAACAGAAATACCACAAGTGGGTGGCTTTAACAGACAGAAATTTATTTTGTCACAGTTTAGGAGGCTAGAAGTCTGAATTCAGGATGCTGGCTCTAGGGGAAGGCTTTCTCTCTCTGTTGGCTCCAGAGGAGATGCTTGTCTTTTCTCAGCTTCTGCTGCTAGGCCATCTTCACATGGCTTGGCCTCTATTTTCCTCCATCTATGCCTGCTAGCTTGCGTTTTACCTCTTTTATATCTCAAAAGAGATGACTCAAGATACCCCCTATAGTAATCCTTCCTCATTAACATAATAAAGACAGTCAATTCCCAAATGGGATTATAACCACAGGCACAGAGGTTATGATCTAAAACACATATTTCTGGGGGACACAATTCAAGCCATAACACCTCTTACTCTGAATAATACATCTAAATCAGATATCAGGTCTGGAGAGTATTCTATGTTACTGAAACAAGAGTAATTCTTTTAATTAGTTGGAGGTAACTGTGTTTAAAACACATAAATAAAATATTCATGAATAAAAACAAAGTAGCACATGTGGAACTCTGGCAATAGCTCTATCATCTTTCTAGAGGCTGAAACTGGATGTGCAAAGAAAGTAAAGATCACCACACCCAGAAATAATCTAGACTAAGGCTCTCTTTTTTTAAAAACATCTTTAAGTCTTCTTTGGAACAAGATAAAGACAAAAAATTGGTAAACCAATAAATAAACAGATGAACGTATTACTAAGACAAACCAAACCAAACCAAACCAAACCCATTGCTGTAGAGTCAATTGTGACTCATAGCAACCCTACAAGACAGAGTACAGCTGCCCCATAGGGCTACCAAGGTTGTAATCTTTATGGAAACAGGCTACCACATCTTTCTTCTGGGAGCGACTGGTGGGTTTGAACTGCCAACCTTTCAGTTAGCAGCTGAGTGCTTTAACCACTGTGCCAGCAGAGCTCCTATTAAGACAAAAGAGGAGCTGTAATTGTCCTTTTTCCAAAGGCAAGTATATATCACAATTTGTGACTGTGAAGGTGTAATAATATATATTTTCCTCATCGTTGTAATGAGAAGCCACCATTAATTCATGTTCAAAAAGATGCTCTAGCATCCAGCATTAGTGTATCGATGTAATGCTTCAATTTCACATAGAAGTATCCGGACTTATTAAATAATTTACTCAGTGATTTGAGACTTGTATCAGCCTAGCAGAGGCTGAGGATTATCACTTTTTAAAAAAAAATTAAAGCTAGCCTTTATTCTATCCATCTGTTTTAGAGGAGTTGTTAGTCTTTTCAACCAAAATGATGTCAAAAACTTCAAAACTCTACTGCCCAATATATTAACAAACCTGTTCAATCATTCATTAATTCAGCTATGTATTCTTCAGTCCATCTATCAGTCCATCCATTTCTCCATCTATCTATCACATAGTGTGTATACCATTAGACTTAATGTGCTCTTAAGCCTGTAGCTGGCCATCAGAACACACTTCTGTCTTCTAGTACCTCTTCATACTTTCTAAATCCTCTGGAAGAGCCCTAGTAGTGAGAGAAAACTTTCTTTTCTTCTTAAATGAATGAGAGGATGCCTGCTGAACTCAGGGAAGATGGTTAGAAACTCCAGATGATAATCAACTGTATCAGGCATATGCATCTTGGAAACATTTAGTCACTGATTAACGTTATTTATTTCACCTGGAATACAGATGTCAACAAATCACATGTGATTTAAAAATAGTTTTACAGTATTCCTACTTAGATTCTGTATAAATGCCTAATTTTAATTTCCAGAGAAACATCACCAACATTGTGCCTAAAGCTTACTTTTCCTTAAACACTTTAATTATCATGTCTGCACGTGCTGTTCCTCTTCCAGGCGGTACCTTCCTACCACCTTCCCCATTTTCTTCCCTTACCCCATAAACTGGGTACCTACTATACTCCAACACATCTCTCAAATTTTAGAAAAGTTAAAAGCAAACAAAAAAGTTATCAGAGTTAAGAAAGAGGAACATAATGAAATCTTACCTGTATCTCACGCAAGTAGTGTTTTGACCTGAAGGAGAAACTGGTTTAAAAGTGATGAGTGGGGAAACCTGGGCTGATAGCAGAAATCCCAAAGCAAGAATAATGAGTGCGACTGTAGTACCTTAAAAGAAAACAAAAAAAAAGGTTTCCATCAGAAAATAGGACAGCTGACCATATTCCTCCAAAGCATACTAGGTTTGGCAAGACATACCTCTGAGAAAACACACTGATCTATCTTCCTTGGGATAAAAAAAATGCTCCTAGTACATAAACAAATTATCAGAAAAAGTCATTAGCACGTTCATGTGAGACATGACAAGAGTGAAATTCAAAGCAAATACTCGCCACGCAGTAGACCGGAATAGATTTTCTAAAAAAACACCATGGATTGCTAACAGTCTCAAAATCAATTAATATAACCAACACTGAGCACCTAACATGCGGAAAGTGTGAAAAGCAACAGGTTTCCACCAAGTGTTGCTTTCAGTGCTAAGAAACTGTTCTAACGGCAGTGATCATAAATGACCTAAACCAGGAAATTAAAAAGCAACAAACAATATTTTTAAAACAGTTGAAAGAGCATTTATTTTTAAAAAAAGTACCATTTTGAAGGCTTTAAGGTGCCAAACATGATAAAAAACATGTATTTATTTGTCTTTCCTGTCGTTACTTAAAAAGGGAATATTTATCTTTGATTTTAAGGTATAGCAATGGTGATTGGAGTACTGGTGGTGTAGAGGTTAAGAGATCAGCTACCAACCAAACGGTCAGCAGCTCGAATCCACCAGTCGCTCGGTGGAAACTCTATGGGGCAGTTCTACTCTGTCCTATAAGGTCGCTATGAGTTGGAATCCACTTAAGGGCAGTGGGTAATGTGATTATTCGTATCATCTAATGGGCCCATTTTTGAGTCTCCAATAGAAATCCTGATGGAAAATATGAAAGTCTGCAAGTTGCTGGAACAATAGACATTGTAAGGATAAACAAAAGGGTCACAGGAAGAAAGGAGAAAGAAAATACTGCCATATTAATTGGCACAGTTTAGTTGAATGGGGCAATATTTTTAAAATGTGAAACTCAGGTAGAATTCTACCTTGGTGAGCAGCGTCTAGGGTCTTAAAAGCCTGTGAGCAGCCATCTAAGATACTCCACTGGTCTCACCTTGTTGGGAACAAGGGAGAATGAAGAAAATAAGATACAGGGGAACGATCAGTCCAAAGGACTAATGGACCACAACTACCACGGCCTCCACCAGACTGAGTCCAGTACAACCAGATGGTGCCCGGCTACCACCATTGACTGCTCTGACCAGGATCACAACAGAGGGTCCTGGACAGAGCTAGAAAAAAATGTAGAACAAAATTCTAACTCACAAAAAAAGATGAGACTTACTGGTCTGACAGAGACTGGAGAAACCCCGAGAGCATGGCCCCCGGACACGCTTTTAGCTCAGTAATCAAGTCACTCCCGAGGTTTACCTTTCAGCCAAAGATGAGACAGCCCCATAAAACAAAACAAGACTGATGAGGCACAGCAGTCCAGGGACAAGGACTAGAAGGCAGGAGGGGACAGGAAAGCTGGTAAGAGGGAACCCAAGGCTGAGAAGGGAGAGTGCTGGCATGTCGTGGGGTTGTTAACCATTGTCATAAAACAATATGTGCACTGTTTAATGAGAAGCTATTTGTTCTGTAAACCTTCACCTAAAGTACAATTAAAAAAAAAGGAAATTCAGATAGAACATTTACATAGTGGCAAGGATTTTTAAAAAATACTTTTGTGGTAAAATATACATAAGAAAATTTTCCATTTTAAACATTTTTAAGTGTATAAGTCAGTGACACTAATCACATTCACAATGTTGTACAAATATCACTGTTATTCCCAAAACTTTTTCATACCCTAAACAGAAATTCAGTACCACTTAAGCAATAACCTCTCATTCTCCCCTCTTCCTACTTGGTAATCACTAACAAACTTTGGTCTCTATGCATTTGCCTGTTCCAGATATTTCACGTAAGTGGGATCATACATTTGCCCTTTTGTGTCTGGCTTATTTCACTCAGCATAATGTTTTCAAGGTTCATCCATGTAACAGCAGGTATCAGAACTTCATTTCTCTTTATGGCTAAATACTATTCCATTGTATGTATAGACTATACGTTTATCTATTCATCTGTTGATGGGCATTTGGGTTGTTTCAACTTTTTGGCTACTGTGAATAATGCTGCAATGAACATTGGTGTACAAGCATGTATTTGAGTCCCTGTTTTTAATTATTTTGGGTATAGGACATAAAGTCAGAACAGTTAGGTATGGTTCATATCTAACATTTGTTAGTCAAGTGTTTGTCCTAGTATATAGTGTACCCTTCATGCATAAAAAACATTAAAGAAACACTTTCAAATACACTAAAACCTCTTTAACATAATACAGTAATAATAATAATAATAATGTTTTGATGTGCATCACAAAGTAGTGCACGTTTGTTATTATGAACCATCGTATGTACCTTGAATTTTTAATATAATAGGCTTTACAGAGATTGATTTGTAAGTACGGGTTGTAAGTAAGTCAGATGTTTGTAACCCAAGGACTGCCTGTATACCTAGGAGTGGAAATAGTGGGTCATATGGTGGTCCTATGTTTAACTTTTTGAGGAATTTCCAGACTATTTTTCACTGTGGCTGTACCATTTTACATTCCCACAAGCAATGCATGGAGGTTCCAGTTTCTCCTTATCCTTGCTAATACTTGTTATTTCCCCCCCACTTTTTTTTTTTTTTTTTAATAATAGCCTTCCTAATGAGCGTGATCGGGCAGTTCTACTCTGTCCTATAGTGTCGCTATCAGTCAGAATCAACTTGATTGCAATGGAGTTTTTTTTAGTAAGTGTGAAGTGGCATCTCACTGTGGTTTTGATTTACATTTCCCTAATAACTAATGATGTTGAGCATCTTTTCATGTGCTTATCGACCACTTGTATATCTTCTTTGGGTAGCAAAGTTTTTATTAATCGTATTTTTATGCAAATAACATGTGCCTCCTAGGTTTGTTAGCCAACCGTGCCCCTTCCCCACGAGCAATTTTCATAAGTGTCACTATGCCAATTTTTTTTTACATGTCGCTATAAAAAAATTGGCATAGCGCACTTACAAAAATACTTCATAAGAGGAGGGCACGGCTGGCAAACAAACACAGAGGCACGCATTATTTGCATAAAAATATGGTAGTTAAAGTTAATTAAGACATGGCCAAAAACTTTATTAAAGGAATGGATAGGAAAAGAACTATGAGCAAAAGTGTGGATGCGAAATTAAATAATAGTTGAGGTGTTTAGGTTTAAAATATAGGGAATAAGTCAAGTCAAGCACTCTGGGGCATGGTGTTCTTGAAATCAGAAGACTGGTGTTCTACCTCTGCTGTTTCTTTGTGATCTTGGACAAGGCACACGACCTTCCAGAGTACAATTTCTCTTCTGTAAAATAGAGTTTAATGAAAATAACCTGCAAAATTGAAGCGAATTTTAAACATCATAATGTATTTGAAAGCTTTTTGTAATGGTGAAAGTGCTATAAAATGTTAGTTATTATACTACAGTAATCATCAGGAACAGCAGCAGTATGCCTTTAAAACAGGAAAGAGTTGAAGGAATGAGAGGACTGAAGTAAGACCAAAAGTTTGTTTTGCCAAATTGGCTCAATAAAGCCACAAACCTAAAATCACAAGCTTGTTGGATTAAAACTCAAACTAGTTTTAACACTTATAATGCCTAATACTTTAAGGCATTATATTTATCAAAAGACAATCAAGCCCCTGAATTGAGAAATGAAAAAGAGGTCTATCTCTCATGAAGAGAGGAGATATGCTAGGCCTCTTATGAAAATCATTCTTCTCTCCTCAAACAAAACAAAACAAAACAAAAAAAGCAAAACAAACCACATGTTCTACTGTTAACCTATTTATAAAAGAACCTGAGTCCCTAAGTATTTTCCAAAATTATTTCTATAAAGTACTGCTGTGGGACAGGTAAGAATATATTCTAAATACTTTTCAACCAGGAAACTTTGATATCTTACAACCTATTTATAAAAGAACCTGAGTCCCTAAGTGTTTTCCAAAATTATTTCTATAAAGTACTGCTGTGGGACAGGTAAGAATATATTCTAAATACTTTTCAACCAGGAAACTTTGATATCTTACAATGTGGAGGAATATGATGTTCTTTCATAACCTTTAATAAACAATATGTTCCCCATGGTGAATGTAAACTCTAAGATGATACACCTGGAACTTACTTAATATACGTCCAATTCTAGTGCCTGGCATGTAGCAGATCTCAGATAGTATTTGTTGGATGGATGGACCATAGGACCATAATATATTTGCAATATTGACTATTTTTTTGAAAAATAAAAACATAAGCCTATCCCATTGAGGTCATGGGATTGTTGTTGTTGTTGTTAGGTACCTTAAGTCAGTTCCAACTCATAGGGACCCTACGTACAACAGAATGAAACACAGCCTGATCCTGCACCATCCTCACAATCGTTGCTATGCTTAAGCGCACTGTTGCAGCCACTGTGTCAATCTACCTTGTTGAGGGTCTTCCTCTTTTTCAGTGACCCTCTACTCTACCAAGTATGATGCCCTTCTCCAGGGACTGATCCCTCCTGATAACATGTCCAAAGTATATGAGACAAAGTCTCACCATCCTCGCTTCTAATGAGCATTCTGGTAGTACTTCACCCAAGACAGATTTGTTTGTTCTTCTGGCAGTCCCTGGTATATTCAATATTCTTTATCAACACCATAATTCAATGGCATCCATTCTTCTTCCGTCTTCCTTATTCATAGCCCAGCTTTCCAATGCATATGAAGCGACTAAAAACACCATGGCTTGGGATAGTACACAATACTGGGGAAGCCACCACAACTTGTACAAGGAGAAGTCATGGAAGCTCCATAGACACTTCCAAACTCCCTGAGGGACTGAATCGCTGGATGGAGGACTTTGGGGACCATGGTCTCGGGGAACATCTAGCTCAATTGGCATAACACCGTTCATAAAGACAATGTTCTATATTCTACCTTGGTGAGTAGTGTCTGAGGTCTTAAAAGCCT